ATGGGCTAGTAATTCAAAAACATTATTGAAAGAAGTTCCAGAATCTCATAGAGCTTCAAAAGAGTTTTCTGATGGCGATAGTTTAAAAATATTAGGCTTGAAATGGTTGCCAGTTTCTGACATATTTGCTTTTACTGCAAATACGTCAAAATCTATTAATGGTTATACTAAACGTATAGTTTTATCTACTATAGCTCGTTTATTTGATGTGTTAGGTTTGGTAGCACCAGTTATTTTATATGCTAAACTTTTAATGCAAGAATTGTGGTTAATTAAAAGTGATTGGGATGATAAACTTCCGGAAAATATATCAAAACGTTTTATACAATTTGAAAATGAATTATCACAATTAACTAATTTGAAAATACCAAGGCATTTAGGAGTTTTTGATGGGTGTAATATAAATATTTTAGCATTTGGAGATGCTAGTACAAAAGCATATGGTTGTTGTATTTATATGCATGTAGTTAATTTAAATTCTGATGTATCAGTTAAATTAATTTGTGCTAAATCAAAAGTTGCACCTTTAAAAACTCTTTCTTTAGCTCGTTTAGAATTATGCGCAGCATTATTATTATCCAAATTAGTAAGGCATGTATGTGATACTTATGAGAAACGATATAAAATTAATAATATTTTTGCATTTTCTGATTCAACTATTGTATTATCATGGATACATTCATCACCTCATCGTTGGCAAACATTTGTAGCTAATCGTGTAGGACAAATTCATGACAATTTATCACCTACTCATTTTTATCATATTAATGGAATTGAAAATCCAAGTGATTGTGTTTCGAGAGGTTTATTACCTTCACAAATATTAAATCATTCATTGTGGTGGAATGGCCCTTCTTGGGCTCATTATCCTATATCAAACTGGCCAATTAAACCATTTGATATTACAAAACATAACTCAGAAATTCCTGAAATAAAAAAACAAGTGTTTTTAATAAATACCTCGTATGAAAGCTCAATTTTTTATAATCTTTCGTTAAGAGTTTCATCTTGGTCTAAATTATTAAATATAATTGTATATATTTTAAGATTTTTAAAGAAATTGAATTCAAAAAATTTAATTCAAATTTCAGATCTTGAAATTGCTGAAAAATTTATTTTAAAACACTTGCAACAAATTTATTTTAAAAAGGAGTTAAATAACATTAACAACAAAGATATTTTAAATCCCATTTTTAGAAAATTAGATATATTTCTTGATGAAAATGGTTTAATTAGAGTGGGAGGTCGTTTATCAAATGCAAATATTCCGTTTGAAAATCGTCACCCCATTTTACTTCCTGGTAGAAACCATATAGTGAATTTATTGATTGATCAATTTCATGTTTTAAATTGTCATACTGGTTCATATTTATTAATGTCATTGTTAAGACAAAGATATTGGATTATTTCTGCTAGAAATATTATACGTCAAAGAATACGTTTATGTAATTTTTGTTTTAAAACATCACCAAAAATTTTAACTCCTAAAATGGCAAATTTACCTTCTGCTCGTGTTCAAGAAGCAAAAGCATTTACTCATACTGGTGTAGATTATGCCGGTCCCATAAATATTACAATGACTAGAAAACGAGGTATTAAAAGTCAAAAAGCTTATATTTGTTTATTTATTTGTCTTACAACTAAAGCAATACATATTGAATTGGCTTCAGACCTTAGTTCTGATAGATTTTTAGATGCGTTTAAAAGATTTATTTCAAGAAGAGGGCCTATTTCATGTTTATATTCAGATAATGCAACAAATTTCATAGGAGCTAAAAGACATTTAAATGAAATGTATAATTTTTTATATTCAAAGGAAATGAAACAGTCATTTCAAAAAGAATTAAATATTAAAAAAATTGATTGGAAAATGATTCCTCCATCTGCTCCTCATTTTGGAGGTATTTGGGAAGCAAATTTAAAATGTGTTAAAACTCATTTATATAGAGTTATTGGTAAGCAATTATTATCTTATGAAGAGTTAAATACAATATTGATTCAAATTGAATGTTTATTAAATTCCAGACCACTTGGTCTATTAAATGATGAACCTCAACCAGAAATTCTTACACCTGCTCATTTTTTAATGTCAACTCCCCTTCAATGCTTACCATTTAGTTCATATTCTGATCAAACTTTAAGAGGAAGAAAACAGTTATTAGATAATTTAGTTAAATCCTATTGGAAAAAATGGCATTTAGAATATTTACATACATTACAATTAAAACAAAAATGGAATAAATCAAATATACCTATTAGTATAGGAACAATTGTGTTGATAAAACATGATGATGTGCCTCCACTTCATTGGCCTTTAGGTGTTATAGAACAAGTTTATCCTGGAAAGGATGGCGTTATCAGGGTAGCATTAGTGCGATCTCAAAATGGAGTTTTTAAGCGACCTGTGGTAAAACTTTGCCCCCTTCCAACACAGTGATATTAAATATTTTGATATTTTATTTAAATTTAATTAAATATATTTTCTTTGTTTAATATAGTTAATATTTAAAATTGTCATATAATTTCGTTATTTAAACTTACTTTGAAATTATCATTTCAAAGCCGGGGAGTATGTTGGCGCCAAGTATTGCGCCATGGGTTGATTTAAGTTGTCAATGTGACTTTGGTTACATAACCTTTATTTTGTGTCATTGTTAGTTGAGAGTCTCAACTTAAGACTATCAATAATATCTTTGATACTTATATATTAAAAAATAGTTATCCATGATAACTATAACAAAAATAACATAACATAATAATAATAATAAAAAATATATATAAAAAATCATAATCATAAAATTTATATAATTTAATATACCTACATCATAAAATATAAATAAAATAAATAATATATAATATACATAAATAAAAAATAGACAATATAAAAGAAAATTATACCTACGAGAAGAAATACAAGAAAAAATATAAGAAAATTACACGAATAGAATAAGAAGAATGAAATAAGAAGAAAGATAATAAATAAAGAAAATATAAGAAGAAAGATATTCATGGATATGGAAGAAATAAGATATTAAAATATTTATTTAGATGAATTTCAAATTAAAATTATAAATGTCATAATAATTACACATAATATATAAATCATAAATAAAGGAATATAACTGTAAGTACAATCTCTTCTTTTATTAACCTGTGGTGCATTGATACACCACTATTCATACTTATTGATATTTCTTTCTTTATTAATTACTATTAGAAGTTACTATTTTTGTAATTTTGTAATTTGTCAAATCAAGTTTGATAGGTTGTAACAAGTAAAACTGTTATTTTTCCTGCTTTGGCAAATTTCTTTTGAATTGTTGCTTTACAAGGCCATTGCACTTCCCCATTTGCAGTTCTGTTCAACATTGTTGTTTCATTTGCCACAATATAAAATAAGCCAGTTAGAAAAAATCCAAAATAGAGCTATGAGACTGATTTTAAAATGTAACCGTTATACACCTATTATATCCATGTTGAGTGTCCTAAATATGTTGTCTGTCAAACAAAGAATTATGTTTAATGTAAATTTATTTATATTTAAACTAAAACAAAATCTGTTACCTGATTATATCTGTGATAAGTTAAAAGTTTTTAGAGATGTACATAACTATAATACTAGAAATTGTACAGATTTTATTTTACTAGATAGGTGTAATACAACACAAATGTTAAACTCCGTTTTATACAAAGGTTTACTTGAGTTTAATAAACTACCTGTGAATATTAAAAACTGATAATATAAATCAGTTCAAAAAACTTTTGAGAAGATTTGTTTTAAACTAAATGTTGCGTTTTTGTCATCTTTATATTATATTTATTATGATATATCTAATTCTGTATACACATGTTTTGTTAAAAATCTAATTGTAAACTTTTTAAACTTTTCTATTTTTTTTTCGTTGTATTTTTTATGTAAATATGTAAATTGTTATTTTTTATGTAGAACTGATGCTAAATAAATTCATTATTAATTTTGCGCTTCGAAACAGTGGTGGGGGAAAATATTGATATTTACTCTTAGTTATCAGTAATTAATTCAAAATTATTTATTGTTATCAGTAGCTTTTTTATTGATGTTTCCCATCACTACCGTATGATAGTATTTAATAAAATGATATTTCTTCTGGGCTTCCAGCGTTTTTCTATATTAAAAAAAAATTGAATTAAGTCTTCCGAGATACAGTTATTTTTGTAAATGCGTAGTCTACTAAGGAAGTTAAAACTAACTTTCTATTGAAATGCTTCAAAATAAACTACTTTTCAGGTAGCTCCGTATAAGTTAAGGATAATGTAATATCTCAAAAAATAAACAAACTATATTAATGTCGCCTACTATATTGATTTCAGATTTATTGAAAAAAACAGAACGGTAAGCTATTAAAAACACTAAAACACAAAGTGTGAAAATGCGTGACATTTTTTAAAACCTAAGTAATGTCCATACAAACATTACAAATATGCAGCAGTTACTTTATTGACGCAGTGAGAGTGCAATAATAATGAAAACTTACCATTATTCATTCCAGTATCATACAATGATAGTCAAAAAGTACGAATAAATTAGTTACGTCGTATAAACATTGTAAGAAAAGCAACACAACTCAAGTAATTATAATTATTAAACTTTAACTGGTTACCTGTTAAAAATTCAACAGATTTAAAGGTGATTTAAAGTTATTTTCTACAGGTATTAAAGAATTCAAAATTACTCAAGTTTTGTCGAAATAAAACATTTACCCCCCGAAATTAAAAAAAAAACGTATATTTTGAAAAAATATGACTTATTTTCATATTTTTATACTCTTAAATTTGTCCTAGCAGGCCTTGATTTTTTTTTAATTTTTTTTCATGGTTAGGTAGAGCTCATTGAGCACTAGGAATTATTTTATCTTTAAACGCTACAAAGAACACCCTAGCAAATGCAAAAGGCAAATTATGCCCTTTGTATGTAAAAGTTTACTTCTCCTGATTAAATAAAATAAAATGTTATCTTTTAGATTACGACTAATGGATATTTTGGTCCAACCAATGCAAAGACTGACAAAATATGGGCTTCTGTTGAAAGCCGTCTTGAAAAACACCGAAGAGGACGTGGAAAGAGAAAATCTACAATCTATGGTAAGTACAATTTTATAAAAGAACGGCCTAAAAAAACACAATTCTTATTCATACCGGCACTTTACCTTGAAGCTTTATTTAATATTCTCGATGTTTTTTTTCCGCTTCAGATAAAAACCGTGGACGATTTTGTGAACTGCGTTAACTCCAGTCTGAAACTTCGACAGGATAGCGAGCGGCTCAAAGGAATTATCGCGAGGATCGAGAGCTACGATGTTGTGGTAAGTTTTCTTTAATCTCAAAATTTTAACTTAATTAAATATGTACAGTTACGGAAAATAGTAATGTCCATTTGAATGCTCACTTTTATTCCGTTTATCAACATTTTAGTGTTTATTATTTGTTTTATGAAATAACTGCCCAATACCAACTTATTTTATTGTATAAAAATCCAATAAAATTTGAAAACAGCATAAACACATAATTATTGAACCTTGGTCTTCCCAAAGGGTCAAAAATAAAATTGCGAGTATTCATTAAAAGTAGTAGATAAAATACTTACAAAAATAATATGGAATATTTTTTAAGTCGTTTTGCGTGGCACATAGACTATTTTTAAATAATAATTTAATATTTGACCAAATTGGGTCCAAACCCTTTGCAGCAAAACTAAATTTATGGTAAAATTTGGTGGGAGCCTTTTTTAAGAAAATATTCTGAAAAACAATGCGAAAAGAAAGAGGCATTTTTATTTAAAAATAAATGTTAAATAATTATTAACCTTTTTTTAAATAATAATGCGGATTTCTTTGCGCATTGTTTTAGCAGAATATTTTCTTAAAGAAAGGGTCCTACTAAATTTTACAATAAATTCAGTTGAGCTAAAAAAGGAGAAAAATCTGGAAAATTTCTATAAATTCAATTTATCATAAAATGATAAACTATCTTTTTTGTAAAGCCTTCAATTCCCTACAAAAATTTGTTTTAGTTTTATCGGTCCACTAATCCTTTGACTAGTAATACAATTGCAAAGTACCTACTCTCTAAAAATGAAACAGTGGATTTTCACTGATTGACAGTGCATATTAACTATTTGCCGCAGTGATAAGTATACCACTAGCAATTAGTGAATACTCACTTTTTCATGTAGCGATTTCTTTTCACTAATTTATTTAGTGGAAATTACACTGTACAAATTAGTGAAATAGGTTTAGTTCAAAAAAGTTAAAATTTCACTATTTTATGTCGAGAGTTCCGGAAAAGTAGTGATAATAAAAAACAGAGAAGTTAAAATTTCACTAATTTTACAGTGAATAATATTTCACTGACGGAGATAGTGAAAATTTCACTGTTTCACTTTTAGAGAGTACCTTAAAAAATGATGGATCTGTTAATTTAATAGCTTATATTTTAAAAGGACCATTTTTTAGATAGTTTTATATGTAAGTGTATTTTTTATTAAAATTATATTAAAGGTTTTTTGATTAATCCTATTATATTTAATTTAAAAATATACCAAATATAAAAATTCTAAATATATTTTCTTAATTTTAATACATAAACGTGCAACAAGTAATAAAATGTGTTTTTTATTCCTATGATGTAGAATAGTGTATTTACTCATTGCTAGCTCTCAAAAATGTAAAGTAAGTTTTAAAAAACTACAACTTAATAATAATATGTTTAGCCTAAAAAGTTCTTTTTAAAAGTTGTTCATAGAATAAATATACCTATAAATTTTATAAAACTATACAAAAATATTTCAAAAAATGAACAATTTAATAAAAATACGGTTAATATCTAATACACCCAAAATATTTAATTCAATACGAGTAGGTAGTAAATTCTAAATATAGACATATTATATATAATAAATCCCTACGAGGCAGATGTTGACTATTTCCGAAATGGACATTACTATTTTCCGTAACTGTACCTACACAATCTACCATTATAAGATTTTATTCAATTTAGTTTTTAAAATCAAATCGACATTTACTTTGGCATTATCTCTTTGTGTACCGTAACAGCAAACAAAACGTTTTATCGAATTAATCGTTTTGTTTCGTTTTTGCTCTTCCTTAGGAATCGAAAGACGATGACATCGACAGAGTGCTGAAACGGGAAAAACAACTGATGCAGCTCGATCTGACGCGGCCAATGACAAATTGTCCCGCCGATCGAAAAAGACATCTCCTAATGGAGGGCGACCTCAAACTCAAAGACAACCTCACGTCAAAGGTAGGAGAATTTGTTTTATAATCTTTTTAAAGTGAAATATTTTTGAGGGCGGGGTAAACAAAATTCGCACAGTAAGATAAATTTAAGAATGGTAATACAAATTCACATATTGCTATTATAATTTTTCCCAAACAAATTTTCGTTAAAATTCTCATAATATCAATACTATAGCCGTCTTAAAACTTAAAACTGCGTATTTTTCATACCTTAATCTGATTTTTCCATTTTTTAATCAAATTATAAAATTAAATAAATAAAATTATTAGCACTAAAACATTTGATAGAAACCTAAACAATATAATACATATTATGTCTTAGTGCAAATGTTTTTTTTCTATTATTCTACCTATACAAAGTATGAAGTAAAGCTCATTTTTTATGCGGTATGTTGAGTGTTTGGTAATATAAAATATAGCAGTGGAGTATTTCGTTAAAAGCTTTTGAGCGGATAAATATGCTGCGGAATTACCATTCACTTAGTTATAATGCATTTAGTTAAGGTTCTTTGTAAATAAACGGATTTTATATTCCTTTCCCATGAATTGAATAACAAATTATACAAAATGGTAGCACCTTTTCTGCAATCGTAATTTTAATTAATACAATTTTTTTATTTTTTTCAATTTTATTTTTAAGGCAGTTGTTTTATTTACTCCTTTATTTCAGATGGAAGTGCATTGTTTCCTTTTAACAGACATGCTTCTCATATGCAAACCTTCAACGAAAAAAGGTGGCGCCACTGTCCGAGTGGTACGACAACCGTACCTAGTCGACAGACTCGTTGTTCACGAACTAACCCGGGAAACCCCGAGTCTGTGCATCGTTTACAAAAACGAATTCGACATGGCTGTCGCGGTTTTCGTCTTGCAGAGCAACGATCCCAAAAAAATAAGGGTAAGAGGAAACTTCCCTCCTTCCTTTCTTTTTTCCTTTCTTCCTTCTTCCTTCTTTTTTCTCTTCCTTTCGTATTTCCTTCCTTTAAAAAAAAATCCTAATCATTTTTCTTAGGGTTTGGAAACAAAACAACTTTTTCGAGAATTTTCTATTTGCGTTAATTTTTTTAATTAACGATTTTGAATTAACTTTAATTAATTAATTTTTTATTTGAATTCAGATACATTTTTGTCAATTTAAGATAATTACTATTTTTGTCTTAGAATTAAGAGAGTTTTGGAAGATATTTTTGTTTAAATAGTTTTAACACAACTTTTGGACTATTTTGACGATTTTTTATTTTATTTAAAAAATTGGACCATTTTTACTTTTAAAAAATTAGGCACATTTAAGAATTTTTCTTATTTAAATAAATTAACAATATTAAGACATTTAAAATAATACTTATATATATAATACGTATATATGACAATTTTAAAATAACTAGGACAATTTTTTTATTTTTTATTTTAAGAAAATTTTCCCTTTGAATTAAACATGTATTTATATAATAAGATAAATAATTTTTCTTCTAAATAAAGATAAATTTTTGTCAATTTAAGATAAATACATTTAAGACAATTTTAAAAGATATTTTTATATAAATATAAACCTTCTGATTAAATGAAAAATGTAAAGACATTTTGCAAATTAAATAATTAAATAAACAATTTTAAAACCATATAAATTGCTAATTTAAAGACAATTTTTGACATTTTTTTATACTATTTTTAGACTCATTAAAGGTTATTTCCCATGTTCTCAATATTAATACAATTTTAACATAAAAACCATTTTAAGAGAATTGTCCAAATACGTTTTACATTTTTAAGTCAATTTTAGGACAATCCAAAATATTTTCAAAACAACTTTTGGAAAATTTTAAGGCAATTTTCTGTTTGAATTGACTATTTAAGACAATATTTGGACGATTTAAGACACGCAATTTTATATTTGCGTTAATTATTTTAGGACAATGTTTCATTTATTAAGACATTTTTGATTTTAATGAACGATTAACTTTAAATATTAAATACATAATTATTTTTTCATTTAAATTAATTTTTGCCAATTTAAGATTATTCCAATTTTTAGTATATCCTAGATTTAAGACAGTTTTAGAATATATTTATATTTTGACGATTTTTAATTTTATTTGTAAATTTGGACTATTTTTACTAAAAAAATAGGCACATTTAAGAAAATTTTTCATCTGAATTATCAATATTAAGACAATTTAAATAATATATCTAAGTATGACAATTTTAAAAGAACTAATATTAAGACAATTTTTATTCTAAATAAAGATAAATATTTGTCAATTTAAGATAAATACATTTAAGACAATTTTAAAAGATATTTTTATTTAAATATAAACCTTTGGACGATTTTCTTCAGGTTAAATGAACAATGTAAAGACATTTTACAAATTAAAAAAAAACAAACAAATTACATTACATTAACATTTAGAAAAATTTTAAAACCATTTAAATTGCTAATTTTTGTAATCAATTTTTTAATTTGAAAAAAGTTTTATATTTTTAGAACAATTTTAGAACAATTTGACAATAAATGTAAATTCATAAAATTTTCATGTAGGTATTTACAATTTTTCTTTTTTATATTAAATTAACTATTTTACCAAAAAAATTATGGTATGAGGAAACTTCCCTCCTTCCTTTCTTCTTTCCTTTCTTCCTTCCTTTCTCTCTTTCTTCTTCCTTCTTTTTTCTCTTCCTCTCTTACTTTCCTTTCTTTCTTTTTAAGATAAAGTAATTCTAATCATCTTTCTTAGGGTTGGAAAGATGGTCTACAGAAGGCTCAGAGGCTGTACTCGCAAGCCAAGCAAATTAGACAGGCGAGTTCGTTTGCGGACGAGTACATGGATTCCGAGTACGATTTTTATCATGATACAGACTTTTATCACAGTTTACAATTGGCTCCAAGGTCTCCGCTCGCCTCGTCAAGTCGTGCCAGTAGAGTTTCTAGTCTTGCCCATAGTCACAGGTAAGGATTTTTTAATTATTTATCACCGATCGAAATCCTTGAAATATTAGAAATATTCCCCAATACCAAAACAAAACACAAAATGCTTAAAGTACTTTTCGCCAACGATGTTGCCATCTTCCGATGATAATAATAATCATAATCTTTATGGCCTAACAGGATTTTCCCAATTACAGGACAATGGTATAAATATATATAACAAATAAATTAAATATATATAACAAGTATATCAAATATTCAATACAAAAATTAAGAAATAAAAGAGAAAAAATAAAAAAACAATATTCTTTACATGGTGGTAATGGGTGATTTTGATAAAATATTTGTTCTGGCAGTGGGAATTTAAAAGGAGACAGAAGTTCTTGAGTTATTCCTGAAAACATGAAACTGAATCTTCAAAAGTAGATATTCACAGTCAATTGCACCCCTTATCAATTTCGTTAAATCAAAGTGTATTAGTTGTATTAACTAGTTAAAAAAGAAATTTTGAATACAATTAATCCAGTAAGGTAGTATTACAATCAAATTTTTGATCAATATAGCGCCAATCCAAAATTAGACTAATATCAATAATTCATTCGATTGAATTATTTGCTAGGCTTAAATGTATCAAACCGTGATAAATAGCAGCAAATAAGTTTTATAAATCACTACAAAATTTAGAATAATTATAGTAAAAATTAAATTAAATTCGCCTACGATTTTCTAGAATCCACATAATATTTTCTTAAATTTACCAATCTTGGATTCAATTAAGCACTTTTTAGGTCAATTTAATCTATTTTTTTAACAGTGGTTATAAAAAATTTGGCAAAATTAAGAATAATTAGGAAAAGTTTATCAGATCATTTGATTGATTCGTGCAAAATTTAACTAAACAGTTAGTAAAAAATATATTGAATTTATCAAAAATTGTATTATTTTAATCAATTTAATATTTGATTATTGACTGGAATATTGATCTTCGTAATAAGCTGTGATAGTGGGGTAGGAAAAGTATATATACTAAATTTTGTGTTTAATAAATATTCATTTATTTTAGCTTACAAACTTTCATAAAAAATAACTCAATAAAATAATAATCTATAAGTGTTTTTTATGTTTAATTGACTAATATAATGTATAATTTTTAAAGTTTTAAAAGTGAAAATGCTTGGTAGGAACATACCTATATTACTCTTAATAACCAAAAACGTGGAAATGAATAAAATTTATTATACCTACATATATCGCAAAAACTATGAGAGCGAAGTCAAAATAAACGGTTTTGGAATCTGCTGTGTTGAATAGACATGATCGTTCTTTCACAATTCACTAAACCACCTGTCTCGAAGAGAAACTGCAAACTAAAACGCGTTAAAAATTAAAAATTGGCATGTTTGCTAAATTTGTTGCTTACATTACAGATTTGGTCAAAATATTAGCTTGATTTTAGCTGACTTTTAATAATTCAGTCAAATATTGTATAATCGTATTAAAATCTAGTACTAGTAAATATTATTTGATAAAATTAATCCAAATAGGAATATAATAATAAAATCCAAGAGTTGATCTTATCTATCTTTTCTTTGAAAATTAAGCTTAACGTTACATAAAGCCAATCTTAATGTTTGATTGGTTTAAGAAAAACTTTTTCTGTGACCAATCTTAACTTTGCTGTTCCTAGAAAAAAATGTATTCGATTTAGCACTTAAACGATAATGTCTATCTTAGGATGTTAATTTTAATTTGATGATATTAATCATTTGCGAAATGTACATATTTATCATAAAAAACTTAAATTTGTCAGTTTTTTTCTTGATTTATTCTATTTTATATTAAACTAATTCATTTTGGATACATTTTGTCTTTTCTTAAATTAATAAATGGATTTGATTTACTTTATCATAACATTTCTTTCCGTGCTCATAATTCTGTCCAGGTTAGCATTTTGTTCACAGAGAAAAGTAATCTCTTGATTTTACTATATCTGTCTTGACTCAAATAAATTATTTATTTCGATATGATACAAGAAGATATTTATTTAGTGGAAAACTTGGGTTTATTTGACTTTTTAAACTGATGGTTTGTTTAATACAAGTAAATATTTAGTTGACTTTTTATCTTACTTAAAGAAACAAAACATTTACTTGTATCAATTCTATTATTTTGTTAAAATAAGATATTATATGCTTCTATTAACATTTGATAAAACTAAATCCCTACAACCTATATCCAAACAATTTAATTAATTGCTCTAAATAAATATTTCTTTACAATTAATCACAACAATAAGTTGTTTTCAAGAAACTCATGATTTACAACCAAATAATAGTATTTTCTTATTGTAAACAAGAAGTTACTACGAATAAGACAATTTTACTTCATACAAGAAAAACTGTTTCAAATAAATGCATTTTCTTAAATCAAGAGATTACTTTTCTCTGTGTTCTGGGTAGATTCCATGAATTAAGAGATTAATGTATTTTAAAAGTCTTCTTTAAACTCCATACATATTTATACGATTTTAATATTGGGTAGCAGATCAAACTTGCATACTCCAGCTTGTTTTCTACAAATAACATATAAAGGAAACATTTATAAATTCTCTTGTGGATCAAATATCAAATCTCAAAGACCTTCCAGCTGCTGAACAAACATTGTTTATATGCGGTACAAAAGAAAGTGTTTGATCAAACAAAACGCCCAAGTCAGTTACCTCATTCTGTCTTCTTAATTGCATGTTGATGATCTTATACTGGTTAAAGTAAGGAACCTCCTTTCTAGTTCCTCATTTCTCAACATTGATTTTTGAAGATGTCAACATCGTTGGTGAAAAGTACTTTAAGCACTTTGTGATTTATTTTGGTACCGATCGAAGGGTTAAACCAGTCCGTTCCTTTTCAGTGGTTCCGTGGAAATGAACGACCAGTCTTCCGTGGGGTCGGCCAAGGACCCCTCGCGAGGAGTTTCGGTCGAGAACGACAACAGAACGGCCTCCATATCGAGCGACGAGGGCGTGCAGCCCCTGCCGCCCGACAAGAGCCCCGTCTCGCAGAAGAACTCCTTCAAGAACCGGCTGTTCCCCAAAACGCCCAACACGCTGTCCGTGCAGCCGTACGGCAGCCTGGGCCAGAGCCTGCCCAACCTGACGCTGCACTCGCCGAACAGCGCCGGTTTCAATCAGAACACGCTCTCGGTGCCGAACAGCAAGAACGGCTCGCATTTGCTGAGCCCCACGCACAGGGGGATCTCCTATCCGCCCCCCTCTCCCACCAGGGGGAACTTGAGAAGGAGTTTGGCCATTTCGCAGAACAAAAATCCCCCCTTGATCAAAACCAGGCAGGTGAACTCCACGACGGGTGTTAGCACTCAACTCCCGACCAGTTTTGACTTCGATGTTCCCGTCATTGCAGGTAAAAATAATTATTTATGTATATAACCCAGGTAGCACAACGTGACGAAACCGTGACGATTTGTGTCCAATTGGACACAATGGACACAAATCGTCACGGTTTCGTCACGTTGTGCTACCTGGGAAATAATTTTAGTTAATATTAATTTACAATTTCGAAAAATATGTTGTATTTTGACATCCTTTTATACTATTTTCAGACTCATTTCAGGTTATTTCCCATCTTCTCAATATTAATACAATTATAACATAAAAACCATTTTAAGAAAATTGTCCAAATACGTTTTACATTTTTAAGTCAATTTTAGGACAATCTAAAATATTTTCAAAACAAGTTTTGGAAAATTTTAAGGCAATTTTTTGTTTAAATTGACTATTTTAAGACAATATTTGGACGATTTAAGACACGCAATTTTATATTTGTGTTAATTATATTAGGACAATGTTTTATTTATTAAGACATTTTTTGATTTTAATTAACGATTTTTTATTTAAATTAACTCAATATTAACTTTAATTAATTAATAAATAATAAATTTTCCATTTGAATTGTTTTTTTGCCAATTTAAGATTATTACAATTTTTAGTAGAAAGTCCTAAATTTAAGACAGTTTTAGAAGATATTTTTATTTAAATTTTTTTAAGACAACTTTTGGACTATTTTGACGATTTTTAATTTTATTTGTGAAATTGGACTATTTTTACTAAAAAAAATTAGGCACATTTAAAAAAAATTTCATTTGAATTATTAATTTTAAGACAAATTTCCCTTCGAATTGAATATATTAAGACAATATTTTAAGACAATTTTTTACCATTTTAAGATTTGATTTGATTTTTCTTCTAAATAAAGATAAATTCTTGTCAATTTAAGATAAATACATTTAAGACAATTTTCGAAGATATTTTTATTTAAATATAAACTTTTAGACGATTTTGAAGATCTTATTAAATGAACAATGTAAAGAAATTTTGGAAATTAAATATTAAAACAAACAAATTATAAATGTCTTACATTAACGTTAATGTACATTTAGAACAATTTAGAACAATTTTAAAACCATTTAAATTTGCTAATTTAAAGACAATTTTCCTGATCATTTTTTTAGTTTGAAAATAGTTTTATATTTTTAGGACAATTTTAGAACAATTTTCATCAAATTTTTATGAATTTACAATTTTTCTTTTTCATGATTTAATTAACTATTTTAAGGCAACTTTTAGACAATGTTGAAATTTTAAGATCATTTCCTTTTTGATTGACTATTTTAATATAATTTTAAGAACAAAATTTTTGTAAACTAATATGTCCTAAATTAGTTAACATCAGAACAATTGTTCTATTAGAAATAATTACGTTAACAAATTTTAGGAAATTTTAAGAATATATTTAAGGCAATTTTACATTCAAACTGACAATATGCTAATGTATTTTTGTTAATTTAAAGTCAATACAATTTTTAGTATAGGGTTAGATTAAAGACAATTAGAAGATTTAAAGACAACTTTTGGTTGGTTGCCATAGGAATTTATATTTTTTTAAGACAACTTTTTGTCAGTTTTCTAGTTAAATAAACAATGTTTTAATATTAAATTAAATATGTCTTATATTACATTTAGGACAATTTCACAACAATTAAAATGTATAATTTAAAAACAAATTTCCTAATAAATGTTAAGTTTAAAAACATTTTTATATATTTAATTTTAAATTGGATTTCCTTTTTTAATGTTAGCGCTTTAAGGTAATTTTTGTTAATTATCTAGATAATTTTCTCAATTTTAGGAAAACTAATTTAAAACAAACTATTAAAAATTATTACTTTAAGACAAGTTTCAGGCAATTTTAAGACTTTGTTTATGACAGTTTCACATTTTTTATTTTAATTAAATTGACTAATTTAAGACAAATTAAAGTTTGTACAATTTTAGGCCAATTTTTTGTTTTAGACAATTTTAGAATAATGTATTTTTTTTTTAATTGAATATTTTAAAACAATATTTTACTTTAATAGGTACTTAATTTTCCATTTTAAAACAATTTTATTTGTGATATGACAAAACTAGACCATTTAGGACACAATTTATATTTTAACTATTTTAGGAGGATTTTTTGATGAATGATTGCTCTAGACAAATTTTAGACAATATCAATTGTCGATAAAGTTTTCCCAAAAAATCCTATATTTCTGTATTATCAAAAATGGCGAATGTGCCGGGATTAAAAATTGGAAAAACTTTACCTACAAATAAATGTAAACAAAACTATAACCAATTTTTAAACAAAAATCATTAGAGTTACTTACTTACTTCTTAAGTTCAAAGTATCTGTTTCTGATGTGGTATTTTCTTTTTTTTCTTTTCATTTTCATTTCGAATAGAAGAAGAACACTCTGAGCCAACGTAAATTCAATAATTTCTTGTGAGTTGAGTATTCTGTGTGCCTAAGGGAGTTTTACCAGTTTTGTATGCTGTTTACTTTACTGCAGTTGATACAAACTTATGTACTGATAAGGAGGGAACAGTCTAAATAAAAAATAATACGCTTTATTCAATTTATTTTTTTCTGCTTTATTGTATATAGGCTATAATATTAAATATCTTTTAAAAACCATCCAATTAAAGCATGATTAACCCCAATTCCGCTAAAGAAAGATCGCATGTTTTATAAAAATATTTAATCTTTTTATAGTAAAAAGTTTATATCAACTATTAACAAACAAACATACAATATCTGAAAAAACTCTGGAGCACCTTTAGATTAGAAATAGCGCATAGCACATAAAAAATCGAAATAATTATTGAGGTAGAATTTTCGAGTCACGACAATGTTTCGATTTTTTATTTTAGCTTTTTTTTCTATATAAGACTGCCATGTATAGCAGATTGTACGAATGTTGTATATTGATAGGAAAAAACTTATAGGTATTGTAACTTTTTAGGTGTTTCTCGGTTAGACGACCATTGTGAATCTTTTAGTAGAGGTCATCATAGGCAAGCTATGAAAAGGACCTACAGATATCATACAGCTGGACTTGTTGATGATATTAAGGTAAAAATAATACGACAATTTTTCTTTTGTCAGAGGTCTCCAAATTTTATAAAAATCATAACTCAAAAACTATAAATAGTGGAAACTTTACATTTTATAACCGTCACGTAACACACCTCTCGTGCAAATTTGGTTAGCGCTAAAAAGGTTCAAGTGCACTTTTTATCGATTTTTTTAAAGTAGAAAGACCAAATTTACTAGCAAGGTGTACGAGGACCATTTATTGGACAAGTTTAAAGATAGGCTTTCCAAGCCTGCAACTTTCGAAAACAAATTTTTTTTAACTTTTCGGGAAATTTTCAGAATTCTTTAAAAAATTTAAGCAAACAAAAAATTAAAAACCATTAAGACATGACCGCCTGCCCAATTTTTTTTTATTTAAAAAAATCAGTTTTTAATTTAAATTTTTTTAAGAATTTTATCATAATTTAAGGTATATGGAATTTTCAATTTTTCAAAAAAAGTAATTTTTTATAATTTCTTTTGCTTGTTATATAAATACGATTCGCGTTGAGAAACATCCATTTATTAATTTTAAAATATTTTTTTGAAGCGCTAATATAAAGTGCTGGTAAGAAGAAATCAAAAAGTCAAATGAAGTTTTTGATACTAAGATATTTGATGGTGAAAATTTAAGATATGTTTTCAAATGTTAACAAATAATTATTGTAGACAGTTAAAAGCAACAACCTTGATTCATAATCACAAAATGAGATAGCAGTTAATTTCTTTAAAATAATAGGACCTGAATTGATTTTATTTTTAATAACAAATATCTTAGTAACAATAACCTCCTTACAAGCTCTTCATATTAGACCTTAAAAAAATATTAATATTTTTTAATTTTGCAAAGTCTACAATTTCAAAAATTTTCTTTTTGGGACTTTTTTTTAATTTTTTGTTTTTAGCTGTATTTTTATATATATAATTATAGAAAAAAATTCAGACTGATTTTCAAAAATTTTTTCCGGTAAATTCTCGCTGATTGTCTTTTTTAATTTTTTTTTCTTTTTTATTAAAAACTTTCTGCAAATATTAATTAAAGAAGCAAGAAGCAATTTCTTGCAAAAACTCTAAAATGCTTATTAATAGTATATATAGTGTGTTTCATTTTGATTGGCGACAATTTGGTATTTATTTTAAAATAGACCGATTAAAAAAAATAGATTGTAGTAATGGAAAAGCTCTATCTCTTGAAAAACAAAAAATATGTCATTTCCATGGCCCTCTATAATTAATAGGTCTCCAAAATCATCTAAAGTTATCAGGCATTTTTTAAATTTAAAAACACGTTTCTGAATTTGGCATACCCAAAAACCCCTATAACAAAAATTTTTGTTATAAAATTTTATACAAAAAGTACGGTAAAACAAAAATTAATTTTTTTAGGACAAGATTTTGCAAAAAAATTCTGTCATTTCTTTGGGTATTACTCGAACTACACATTCGCTTAATTTTGTTACTCTAGTGTTCACAAATTAAGGTCAAAAATTATAAAAAAAATATTGAATGTCCATCTTCATTAGTTTTTGAGATATGATTGTGTTTTAAGTGTTGCTTGTTTAAAAATCCCCTTTTTGAGGTAAATGCTAAAACAAAATTCCTGACTTTTCATCAACCATTTTCCAAATTTCCCTAACCAACCATGTTAATTCTAAAGCAATTTAAATATTTCAAGAAATGTCGTAAAATAGGCTTTTGCCTGACTTCCCCCGATTTTCCAGCAACTGAATGTTTTGTCGTTGTTTTAGAAAAATGACAATAGAGACGCCTCTATCCACAAACGATTGTCCTGGAACTGCACGTCGCAGGAATCGCAGCAGGAGACTTAGCACACAATAATAAACCCCCTCGTGTCTTGTTTAGTGATCTTCTACCTAGTTTTAACGCTCTTAGAGATACTGCAACTCGTAGAAAGACTTTTCTCCTTCTAGATTAGAGAACAAAACTAAAACTTTGATGAGAAAGAAAACTAACGCTTAGGTTTGAAGGGAACAGGTGGACCAAAAAGTGAAACCACAAATATCAAAATTGTTTGTTGTAAGTGGGTAATTCCCCGGAAACATTCCAAAGTAAACCTAAGCAATATTGTACCTAATCAAACTGTCAGGCCTAATTTTTTACAAAAAAATCTAGATTAGAAAATTCTAGCTGCTTTTTAGAAACGGCATGCAGTAAACCATTGCGGGATGATTGTGTAATTTTTTAGTTGCGCTCTGGTTTACCCATGCATTTCTACAAATTGTGTATAAAAGAAAATTTAACGAAAAATAGTTTATTATATTACATCAATAACAATTTGTTTAAAGATTATAATGATAGTACAATGATTTTATATTTTTGGTATAATTTATTTTTTGTTGCTTAATTAAGAATGAATATTTATTTTAATATTATTGAAACACAGATGTATATTTATTATGAACGAGTTAATTAATACATTATTTGCATTATTTAGGTTGTTTTAATTCTTTTGCTATTATAATCTTTGGCAATATCAATGTTTTTTCTGGGCACGACAAATTCATAAATATTTAAAATTGCGTATGCTAGACTAACAACCAACAAAAATGGCCAGACACCACTGGATAGGTAACTAAAAAAATAAAGAAAATTTATTACAGGTTTAAGATTTTTGACAATTTTTAAAATTGTAAGATAATTTGGGACAATTTAACAAATGTAAAGTAGAAATATAATTTTTATGCTTACCTTTGTAGCTGTTTCTTAAGACTTTTCCGCCTCTCGTGAAAAATTCTTTGGTAAACAGTTTCAGTCCTTTCCGATATATTTTCCCAATTGTAATATTTCCTAACGCGTTTATTGCATTCATAAGGACACACCACATTGTCTTCTTTCAAATCTTTAATGGCTGTATTCAATCCTGAAAAAAGTCAATAAAATAAAGGTTTATACAATAAGGGTTATTAATAATAAATATTTTTACCTTCCATTAAAGCAGGTACAGTCGGTTCAGTCAAATAAATTAAATCATCAGGTAATACTTCTGGTATTCCACCTACCTTGGTTGAGACCACTTGTAAGCTAAAAATAAATAAATTAATGATAAAAATAATAAACAAAACTCAAATATTACCCACAAGACACAGCTTCCACTATTGCCATACAATATGCTTCAGTAAGAGACGTATTTAAAAAAATATCGCCTTTAACTAGAACATCTCTTACTTTGGAATGTTCCAAACTGCCTAAAAGTGTTACTCTATCTTGAAGGCCTTCTTTTTCTCTTACTTCTTCAAGCAACCTGTCAAATTTTATAATAAAATTATTGAAATACATATAGTCCAAAATATAGTATAATTATTTTTAAAATTGGGTAAAAAATAACATAACTAGACTGTCAAAGTTGGTTTTAATTTTAAGAGAAGTAAAATTGACACGACTTTATATCTTGTTAAATATCTTCAAAAATTAGTATTTTAACATTAGGGTATTAACATTTTTTCAAAGTGTGAAATTATCTAAGATTTGATGTAATTATTTTTAAAATAGGAGTAAAAATAAAAAAACTTTAGACTACAGAGAACTTAAATTAACACTACTCTTTATCTTTTTATAGTATTCTAGTAAGTTTTGCTTGTAAATTAACCAAATAAAAAAACCTTGGATATAAAAAACCTTTAAAATAAACATTTTTGATTGATTAAATTTTTAGTCTCTGCCAACAAATCTTTTCAAATTTTTACCAATGAGTAACAAATGTAATGTAAATTAACGTAATTTAAACAAATTAATGTTTTCCTACCATCTCTTTGGCCCATCCCCAGCAATTAAAAACTGTAAATCTGGATACTTTTTACAAAGCTCCCCAATAATTTGAGCAGTCAAATCGACACCTTTTCTATACACAAGTCTTGAAACAACAACAACAGTAACTAAAAAAACAAACAAAACAACATTATACCCCAAAAATATCGCAGAAAACTTACTTTTAGATTTATCACGACAACTTGGATCTGGTGTAAACGAAAACGTATCTACAGCATTCGGAATCACAGAAACTTGCTTATTTGGCACACTGGCTCTCAAAACGGTGTTTTCTTTCCCCGTGTGCGACACGCAAATGCAATGATTGCAGCCAGCCAGTGAAATACGTAGAAATATATTTGTGATAACGGCACTGGCATCAGCAAAGCCAAAGAGACTGTGATCAGTGAAAACAGTCTAAAAGATTAATATATATGATAAATAATATACAAAATTGTACTTATTAACCTTTAACCCCATTAAATTCCCAATTAACATTGCCTCATGAGCAAGAGCGGAAAAAGCTGAATGTCCATGTATAACCTCTATCTGTTCTCGTATGAAAATATATCTGATAAGAGGGATGTTGCTTATCATCGTGGGTAGAACGCATTGGTTGTAGAATATTTTTATGGGTAAATAGTAAACTTTTAACCCGTTTGTCATGTATCTTACACCAATTCTGTCTCCATAGCTGTGTGTCATTATTATAACTTTGTGGCCTTTTAATAGTAAACATTGCGATAAATTGTAGATGTGTTCTTCCACACCGCCCATGTTGGGAAAGAAAAAGTCAGAAACCATACTAAAAGGTAAGGTTATGAACATACAAATATTTAACATTATTTTTTATAATTTACCAAATTTTATGTCGCATTTTGAGTGTTATTGTGTTAACAATGCTTATGTAGATATTTCACGTACAAATCTCATATTTTTCATAGTTAAATACCATCAAAAAGCCCAATAAACGTTTTAAATTTTTTAAGGTTATATTGTAAACGTCAAAATATTCTGTGCCGCCATCTATCGTAATTTGGCAAAAGTTACTTGGCAAATTTAGAGGAATCTCTTTTAAGGATAAAAGTTTTTGCAATCGGATAATAGATGGCGACACAACTTTCAAATACACTTACGCCCTCTGATGACCAAAATTGGAACTAAATTGTTTCTTGCGTTATGTTGGCGCCCTCTGTAATGTTGGCGAAAATTGGAACCAAATTTTAAATTTTTGTTCAAAAAAATATTTAAAAATTCTAATAACTTTTACGATTAAACGATTAAATTTTTTATATTTTTAACATTTTATTAAAATTATTGAAACATTTGCTTGTAAAATAAAATTGAAATCTAAAACTTAAAATAAATTTTAAAAATAAAACAAGATAAATATTCTCTAGAAGTTTATTTTAAATAAAATATTAAATAAAAATTTCTTGTACAAAAAAAGTACATAATAATAGTTTCTACGAATTCCTTATGACAAAGAACTCATTAAAAAAATCACTAGAAAACCACTCAAAAATTAAACCTAGATATTCATTTGTTAATTAAAAAAAGAATATAAACAAAATGAGTGAATAATGAATTATGGACAAATGATCGCTCAGTGTTTAATATGGTGCGATGTCATAAGAATATTTAAGTATACATTATTATAAATTATACACAAGGTGCAAACACAGAATATTATAATTATTAATTATTACACAGCATTCAAGAATTTAATGTATTTATAAGTTATATTGGCACTGACTCTCTCGCACACACAACATACGCGTCTTTTTCTTTTGCTATTTACAACACAAAATATACTAGTGAGCTTGACAACTTATACAATATTCATAGTAAAATACTAACAAATGCAATACGAACAGCAAGTCTGTGTCGTTGCAAAAACGCTTCGATGTTTTTTTTGCCAAACGACAAATCTTTGGTACAAACGTAAAAAAACGATGATTTCGTTGTTTTTATTGGTTTTAATGAATGTAGGCAACCATTATTACACGTGGATGTTACACTGGTTGCGTTGTGCGTTTTCACGTATTTTGCAATTATCCCACATTTTTTCAGGACAAAAAGTATCCTCAGGCCCGAAAAATATCTCCCTGCAAAAAATCACGTTTTAAACTAAAAAACCGCACAAACGTGTAATATGGGTGGTCTACATTCATTATAACTCCAGCCGTTTTCGGAATGGCTTGGATGACAAAATAACGTGATTTTCAGTCTTTGATGAGAAAATGCACAGACGGCGCCACTGTAGCGCCAGCTGCGATTGGTTGTGATCCCGACGCGTTGCCAACTTGCTGTTTGTAGCGCAAATAATAAAATAAATAAATAGATAAAACGTAACTTATGGCAACATGTTATATAGGTGCTATATAAAAAACGGTGTGAGATGCATCTTATATACAGTTATAACGCACATCAGTCTTCAGACATTCGACATACAGACAGACAGACATTCACAGTGAAACTAATCTAAACCTGTAAATTTGACCTAAAATTTAGTGACTGCCTACACGAATATGTGTTTCATTTTTTGTTCGTAGGAATACTGGCTTTTCATTTAAAGTTACAGGACATGGTTTTTATGTGTGTGCTCTCTTACAAATAAAACGTAATATGCAACATTACGGCCAATCTGATAAAACGGCACTTAAACAGTTAGATTAGGGGGTAGATACATGCAGTAATAATAATAGTAATCATAATGTAGTGGCAGTGAAGGTAAATTATAGAAAGATATGCGTTTGCCAAAATGGTTTTCGTCAAATATCTTTCGTTCTATTGGTCGTAGGTAAAATGTGTCATAATGAAAATGCAGATCCTTAAATTCTCTACAAAAAAAGTAAAGCACATTTTTTTGGTATATGGTTTTATAAAACACGTGGTTAGGCTAATATTGGACTTTTAAGCTTAAGATCATTTTTTTGATCAAAGTATTAGAGCCACAACTTTAAAACGGTTCGTTCCACGTAAAAAATGTATTCAACTTTTTTGTAGATAATTTAAAAATCTACATTTTCTGTTATATAATACTTTGACGTGCCACCAATGGGAGCGAAGATATTTGCAAAAAACAAATATACGTTTGGCAAAAACTCTGAGAACCAACTTTCAACAAAGTCTATCACATTCGAGAACAGTCAAACTTATTATTATTTAAACACATTATCTACTTATAACCTAGATTATTTAGAGTATTGTATTTGGTGGCCAGTGGAGGCCAAATTGATGAAATATAATTGACTTTTGTTGACAGTGTTCCTATTTTTTTTTTTTTGTTAGTTTACGTGCATTTCACCAGACGGCCTGTATAAATTCTCTACAATTATTTATAGTTTTATTAATTAATTAATGGGATAATTAATTAATGTTTGCAGCTTGCAGCTGCGACAGTCTTATTTATTGGACACGCGAAAACACGTGAGAAGCATTTTTTTTTCGTTTCGACGAGAGGAATGTTTCTTTTCTTTCACTAATTTAGTGGAAAACCGCGCACTTTTTTTTTAAATAATTTTTTACTCCTCCTGCTCGGTCTCTTCGCCAGGGCCGTACATGTCGGCCAGCTTGTCGAAACGGGGGCCCCAAGCGCCCAAGTAGTCGTAGTCCTGGCATTCGTCATCAGTACCTGTTAATTAATTAAATAAATATTTATTTTACCTGTAAATTCGTATTTAGATAAATATATTAAAAGTTTGGATAATATATTTTAAGTAAACAAATTCAATATACCTACATGAAATCGTGAAAGTATACAAAATATTTGCTCCAAATGCGAAAAATTCTTATTAGCACAGTCTAATTCCCGTTTTATCTCGTTTTCTATTGGTTGAACAAAAAAGTGTGCAAACTAAAAATGTTAAGCTTTAAATTCTCAAAATAATATTTGTTTGTTTTTTGCCTTTCAGGCAGCAACGCGTTGCAACGGAGAAACAAATCGACGTGATTTTTTGTACAGAGAAAGTATATGCACAGTAAAACCAACTCTGTACTTTACTACGCACAGAATGGCAAAAAACTGGGCTTTTTTCTTCTTCTTATACGTAGTTACTTATTTTAGCTTTTTTGTTTTTTATACTTTTTTTATTTCTTTTTGGGAATTCTTCAAAATCTATAGGATATTTAGTAAGTCATCTTGCTATAATAGCTATTTAGCGGTGTTGCCAAATTTATAAATACTTCTTTTTTGCTTTTTTAATTTTTAATAATTTTTTTTTAAATGAAAGAACATAGATTTTTTTGTGATGCCAAGTTTCTAAAAATAGCAGATTATTGAAAATGTTTCAAAATGGATATTTTATATTCAGTATTGATATTTTTGAGATCTCTAACTTTTTTATTTAACATTTTTAGAGGGTCAAAATATAAAAAAGGCACATTTTTTCTCTTAAAACTTTTTTTTACCAATAAGAAACGAGACAATTCCTTTTTTCAAAAGGCACGAGAATTTTAGAGAGTCAGGAATACCATATCCGATGTCTAAATAGAGATCTAGATCTATTATATTTTAGGACTATAAAAGTTAAACTGACGAAAAATGTGGTTTTGCTAAAGAAACAAACTTCGTAATATATTTCTTCAGGTAAATTAAGTTTACAATTTTTAAAATAAAACATTGTGCATTTTAAAAATGCATTACGTTCAAAGTTTTTCAATTAAATTTGCGCGCCAGTCTAATAACTCAAAATTTGTGGGGTATAAATAATGCGGCAAGTGGAACAAACAATAAATTATTGATTTCGATGTGATTTTATTATTTACACATTCAAATTCGGGTCGCGACAGATAAAACTAAAAACAAATAACACACGAGAATGTTATTAAAAATTCCGTTTCAATTATTTTTCCCTCGGACTAAAGAGATATTTCTATATATAGAGCACGTCCTACACTTTATCTTTCGTCTATTTAGTCTAATATTAAAAAACTTACCTGACGCTAATGAGCTCAAGGATCCGGCAGTGCTGCCACCACCTTCATACGCATAGTTCCTAAGATCGTCGAAAGGTGGCGCGTTGGGGTCGCTATCGGCTCGTTTTTTATGTTCGTCGATAAAAACGCCCACGTTCGGTTCCTGTCCTACCCCCAACATGGAAACTACAAAGAAATAAAAAATAACAACAAAAATAATAATTTTTTCCGCAAAAAACTTACATCCCATCTTGGGCGGCCCCATTTCGGGGAGGGGTCCTCCAATGGGGATTTGCAGCGGGGTTATATCGAAGGCGGTCATGTCGTCTTCGCCGCCCCCCTCGTCGTCGTAATTGATGATGTTTTCTCTGACGTCGTCGTCAGGTCCTGGGTATTTTATGTGGGACTCTCTTCTTCTGTTGTATACCACAAAAACTAACACTAGGACTGTGAAAAAATTAAGTTAGTGTCATGATTTTGAAAGTATAGTCCACTCACTTAAGATTTTTGTATCGGTAAATAATCCCGATCAAATAATATTTTGTTTATTTCATCGAAAAAATTACTTTTAAGATAATTTGGGTTTATAAATATAGATGGCGTAGCTAGTTCCACTTCCCATATACTTACCACACAAGTATGTGCCACTTCCACAGGTATACATACAAATGAATCCTCTAGTATCAAAACCTTTTAAATCCGTTTTGATAAAAATGACATACATTAAAATATTCCTACCTATTAATGTGTGCATAGAAATGTTTGCAAAAGCCATCAAATATTTATAAAAAAAAATATTATATACATTTCGTGGTTTTTTTCAACCATTTGAATGCACAAATTGATAGGTAGTATTTTTTTAATGCTTGGTTCTCATTTTTCATCAAAACAGGTTTAAGGGGTTTTGATAATAGGGGATTAAAATCATATCTTACTGAGACTGTTTCCTTTTCATGGGGTTAAAGTGGGGAAGTGAGAATCACACAGATTGCATTGAGGCGCATGCGTAGCGGCTTTGCCAGTTTAAAAAATCCTATATTTTTGTATTAAGTATAATAAATACTTTTTAATAAATTGTATATAAATTGTATGAAAAAAAGTATTTAATAATAATAAATACACAAAATGATATTTATAAATTTTATAATGACATGTTTGGCAAGGATTTGGCAACGTCGTATTTCAACCACGATAGCCAAAAGGTTTGTACCATAGAGTCTATGGTTTGTACAATACGTATCACAGACATATTAATATGTAGATGGTTTTTATTATTAACTATTTCGATTGTTTTCTGTTGTATAGCAATTGCTTTGGCATTGTTTTTCCATTGTGTTTACGAGATTTTTAGTGGCTTTTACATAATATTATGCCACTTTTTGTTTTTTATAAAGCAAAACCACAGAAATTTTTGTAAGCTTAAGGTTAATTAACCTAGGCGATGTAAAGTCGTTCTTTCGCGTAAATACTATGTAATACTACGGTTAAATAAGTCATGACGTCACAGTTAATTCATATAACCATGGTTAGGTTTCTAACATTTGACATTTGTTTACTTGTTCATAACCTATAATTTTTGAAATGTGTTTTTACCTATTTATATTTAATTTCTATGCTTTTACCGGTGTAAATAAATTTCTTTGCCTCTTCTTATACCTAGTATATTCTTTTTCCATAGGTATACCTACTAGTTTTTTCAATTCACATTATCCTCCTACATGTTTAATACAAAATAAGGTAGAATATAAAACAAACCTGCATATAATTCCTCCACTTGTAGAGATTCCACAATATGGAGCACCCTATCATTTATTTTTACTGACATCACCCCGTTTACCATTTTAATACAAGTTTAAATTCGGGTTAAGAGCAATTGTACCTACTTAAAATATTTTAAATTTCAAATTTAAACAACTTTTTGACAGATCGAAACAGAGAAAAATATATATTAAAAAGAGAAAGACTATTAACCACGTTGAATAACTAGCTCAGCGATATAGTTTTATGGTCTGGTATTTGTGACGTAATAGTTAGGATTTTTGAACGCCCTCTAAACGCAAAAATGCCTTAACTATTAACCAAGGTTAAGTTTAATAACCATGGTATTTCATGGTATTTACGCGAAAAAACGACTTAAGCAAATGATTTAGAAAAATATGATATAACCACAGACCTACACAGGTCTGTGGATATAACCTATTTAGTTGACAATTCGTATTATAAGTGGACGTATTAGTATCCTCCACTTATGAACTGACTATGCGCATAAGGTAAATCGACAAATTTCTCCTAAAAAAAGGAAACAAGGTCATCTATACAAAATATATAGCGAATAAGCAGTACCTATATGTGTGGAAGTATGTGGTATGAAACGAAAAGGCGGTAATAGCAAGACCGCTTGTTTCAATAATCATTGTTTACATAACAAAAACAAAATTAAGTGTTAAAGTTATGAAATGCGTATTTATTTATAATAGAACAACAAAATATTGTAAATGTAAATTAGTTTAATATAAAATTGCCCGAGCGTTTTTATATTAAACCAAATTTATTAATGAGGTTTTATACGTAGCTCAGTAAACTGTAAATCATAAATTTACATTTCATTTATTGTTATATTCCTCTAATAAACTCAAAAGTGAATTGACTATACCTACTCATTATAAAACTAATCTATAGAATAATTCAGGCAAATGTGTAGCATTGACAATATCTACTGAAACAGTGCCGTTGGTGAATAAATACAGAATGTTAAGTACAGCATTATATGATCCATTGTGGAAATTGTAATTTATCAAATGTTGACTGTGTAAACTGGAGACGCTGCGCTGGGTAAGTTTGTTTGCTGATTCTAATTAATTATATACCTAATTAAGTTGATAAGAGCAATTTGCGAAATAAAATAAAACATAATTGTATGCATTGTGCAACAAGGGTTTTCCAAAAAAGCAAATTTCAATTACCAATTAAAAAAATTGTACCTTATATAACTAACATATTTTTTGTTGCACAGTATTATCTATGGTTTATATTATTTAGGTATCATAAATACGCGACTCGAGGTAACTATAAGCTCCTTAAATTTACTTCACACGGTCGTTTCCGAAACTAAAGACCCCCGCTTACGTGGATTTAACTAACGGCAACTCCGCATAGGATCAAAATGAGTATCTTAAACTAAAGTGCTAACACTACAGGGCATATCGAAAACTTACTCGAAAGCCATCTCGAGTAACTCTTCGAAAACTACTCACCTAGAAGTACCAACAGACAAACAATAATGGCTAAAATAAAATCCTTGGACGGCATAATGGCTCCGGCATAGGCCAGCTCTAGCTCGCAATTTAGCCCCGTGTAGCCCAACGGGCACTCGCACTCGTAGCCCAGCGGGGGCTCGTAGTCCCTGCACAGGCCGCCGTTTACGCACGGCAGCCACATACACTCGTTCTCGTTGGTGCAACCGTTCTCGTGGAAACGGTAACCTTGGGGACATCTAACATAGAAAGGTACAAGGGGACATGAGTACTCACCGAACACTTATCGAAGGTGATCGAGATGAATCTGCGCCGGTACTGAGTTTTTGGTTGGTGGTAAAGTTGGGTTTGAATAACAGTAATGCTTTTGTAAAAATATAGGTTCTTTTATAGTTGAAAAACATCACAGCAAACGGAAAAATATAGAACTGTATAGGATGACTCCGCGTTTGAATATTAAATCTTAAAGTTTTATCAGAACTGTATTGAATCGTGCTTTGTTTTTATATTTTTCGGCTCTATACCTATGCACGACTATATTTAAAGTCAAACTCAATGGTGTCTTACAAGATACATTGTTTTGATTTTCTATATTCAACAGAGAGGTAGAAACTCGACCCTGTCGAATGGTGCAGTCATTTATGTCTCTAGAAATTATTAAAAAAGGGTTCAGTCCAATGGTGCAGCAACTTCGGATTCCTATTCTCTTCAGAGACATAGAAACTCAAGCTTTTCGAATTTTACTGGCAATGATTTTCGTTAATGTCCCCGAGAATGATACAAAAACAGCGCAATGCAATATCGCAACGGTTTCGACTTCTTTTTACTCTACCAAGTTATAGAAACTGGAGTCTCACTAATACTGTTCTAGTCAATATTTCTGAGAGTATAAAAAGAGGGTGTAATATTGCAAGAAGTTTTGATCTTTTGATGGATGCAAGTAGTTTGAATTTTCTCATTTCTGCATATGATTTTGTTGAAAATAGTTCCTTTCTTTGGTTCCTTTGTCTGATTTTTATTTACCGTAACAACTCAGGTATGTAAAGCACAGAGGATGTTAAGTATATTTATGTATTATATAAAGTACCTATATTTGTATTAAAAATTTCAGAGGTTATGTTGAAAAAATGTCGATAAAAATCGATATGCTAAGTATTAAACTTTAATAATTTAGTAATGAGGTCTGTTGGTAGACCCTGTCTCCACTGGTATATGTTAGCATAGATTAGTACAGCAATATTTAAATCTGGTTGATGAAAAAGTACACACCAGTGCAGGTTATTGTAGCATCTACGAACAAATGAATTAATGGCCCATTGGCAATTATTCCTTTAGGAAAAATATTCAACACAGCTTAATTAATTAATAAAATGAAAAAAAATCACAATCATGTCGTATATAGTTTTTTTTAAGCATACAATAATTTTTATATTAATACTAGTTCAAAAGTGAAATTACGACCTCTATACTGTGGAGAGTATTGAAACGCTCGACTGACGAATACAAATCTATACCGTGGGGAGATTTAGAAAACAATATTCAAACGTGGCGTCATCCTATACACTTCTATAATTTTCCGTTTGCTGTGATTGTGGAATTACTTTACCTATTAGATTTAATTTTTTTCCGAATCAATTAGCAACATTTACAAAAAGAACAAGCCATCAGCATAAAATAATTAAACTGTTAAAAGATAAGAGCGCGGCATTTGCATTATGGCATTTAAACCCAGCTTTATCGGAGAAGAGATATGAACAAAAAATATAGGGGCGGATAAGTGCATACGAGAAAACATGCCACTAAACATGCATAAATTTTAATAAAACCCGTTCCAAACTAACAGTTTGCATTGATTAAATTAGCATTTTAAGTGCCAATGCATTTTATTTCAAATGATCTCGAAAATGCTAATTTCATGAATCCAAACACATTTTTACACATGCAACTAAACCCTTTTCAGCACAGTCACTTTATTCGCGAGTATTAAGTTTCCCAAGGTAACTGTTCTAAAGAGGGCGATAAAAAATGTTAGGTCTCTCACTGAGGATGATGAGCAAGCAAACCAAGATGGCGGCCAGCGCTCCCATGCTGAGTTTGAGCGTTTGGCCTTCCTGAACCAGCTGGCAATTCTCGCCCCAGAACCCGTCCGGGCAATTGCACCGATAGCGGAGCCTGGGCTCCAGGTTGATGCAGGTGCCGCCGTGCAAGCAAGGCAAGTCGAGGCACTCGTTCTTGTCCATGCAATCCTTTCCGTCGGGCGACATTATCCTGCCCTCCCCGCAACTATACCACACACGCAAAAATGTTTTTTTCCTCATTTGAATACATGCGTTAGACAGTTTGGAGTGTTAGTGGGGAGTTAGCTTGTATCATGTGTTAGTTGGATGAAAAAATAATAAGGAAAACCAAACCAAACCAAAGTCAAAACAATGCACACTCGAAGATGCCCAAAAGAAGGAATCAAGAGGTATAGAAAAAGCTATCCCCTTTTTAGTAGCGTTTGAAACAACTAGTTTAGAATAATACAATTGGGGGCACTTGTGAAAATTTTTCTCTGAAAAAGTTTATATAAGAAAAAATAAGACTTATTAAGTCGGAAGAAGTATGAATAAGTCAGACTAATAGCAAGATTTGGAAGTCTTCTGGAAGAGTATAAGACTTAATAAGACTTTTAGCAGAGAAATGGTTAAGCGTTTAAAATAAATATCCGAAATTATTCAAAGATGTTGTATTTGGTTATTGAAAAAGAAAACACAAAGAAAAGTATTTATAAACATTGTTTTTGTGTTGTTATAAGGCTTATAAAAACACGAAAGCAATGTTTGCAATATAGGTAAGCAACGTTTACTTCAATTTATTTCAATAAAACAGTTGAGACTATAACAATAACTATAACAATTCTTCACAACAAAAAAAATATGGTTGATCTTCGAGCTGCTTTCATTGCTTTTTTGTTTCTGGCCAAAAATTACAAAATACTAAAAAAACTAGTTATATTTTAAATTTACTAGCGCATTCGCCCTGTATGTTGTATATGTAAATACATTAAATTGATTTAAAGGTGTTATATGTCAATAAAAATGTAACAGAAGAATAAAAAAATAATTGTGCATATTTAGTAAATATACAATATCATTTACTGAAATTTCTTTAGTTATTATTTTGATCGAAATTTGCAAAATTTGCAAAATTTTACCCGCAAACATGACGAAAATACCCGATTTTCGAGTAAAATACTCCAGTTGCAATTACATGACAGTCAGCTGTGCTCTAATTGGTCAGCTGAGAAAATAGATATTGCGTCTCACATGTTTTAGAACAATTGTTTGGAACAATGGTGGCAACAACAATGAAAGCAAGTCAAGCGCATCGTATGTACACCTTACATATGTTATTATATAAGTAATTGTGCAATAACTTTGCTTAAAACAACACAGAAAAAATGTTAATAAATACTTTCCTTTGTGTTTTATTTTACAATAACCAAATACAACCTCTCTGAATGATTCCGGATGTTTATTTTTATCGGTTTTATACCATGTCTCTGCTAAAAGTCTTATTAAGTTTTATTAACCCTTTGCAGAATACACCAAAATCTTGCTATTCGTCTGACACTAAGACTTATTCAGACTTTATTCGACTTAATAAGTCTTATATGACTTTTTACGACTTTATTAAGACTTATTAGTCTTATTCAGAGTTTTTAAGAGAAAGTAAAACTTTCAAAACTCCTATTTTTACTTATTAAAACTTTTTCAGAGAAAAATTTCCACAAGGGGAGTTTTTTGAAATTTGCGATTTGACTATAGAATGACCTCTATACACGGAGTAAAAATGCGGGTGGTACTCATTGATGTAACTATTGCTCTTGACAAAGTAAACCGTGAGGTTTTATTAAAAATTGTATGATGTCTTCTTTTCTCCGTGTAGCAAAACAACAAACCAATCAGGGAACATTTCCCAACGCTTTTAGTGTGCTATGGAGAGTGGGGTGCTCTGATTGATTCATTGTTTTCTGTAAAATCATTTTCTATAGAAAGTAAGGTTGCAAATTTCAACAACAACATTCCCTTGCTCTTAACTCTGTGGACTCAACAGTATAAATTCAGATTGTTTATTAACATTTATGGCATCTACTATTATCTCGATTAAATTAATAATGCACAACTACACCGGCCGAGTGCAGTAAAGTCTAGTTTTATAGGCGAGCTAGTAAATCTTGCAGCAGAGAAAATTTCTGGATATACATGTTTTACACTCAAATGGTGTTCTGTAAAACTTTTAAAAATCCTTATTTCCACCATTAAAATGTTTACTGCTTACAACTTATCGTAAAATTGAGATCATGAATGTCCAAACAGTCCCAGTGGATGCTTTTAAATGCGAATAAAAGTTATGAAAATATCTATAGGTCGTTTATTTTTTGTAATACACTCGTCAACATTTATATTGCATCACCTTAATTCGTATGACAAACTATAAAAGCCGTCCATAAATCTCGAGACGCCAAAAATGGTTATGACAGAATATGACGATTTAAAAACCCCCTGAAGGGTCATATGACAAATGATCAAACTCGCCTACCCCCTAAAAATATTTTGTACGATTCTTTTTTATAATAATCTTACTTAAAGTAGAAGAAATATGCCTATAGTGTTATATATAAATGTTGATGGGTGTATTAATAAAATATGGAGGGTTAATTGCTATAATTACCAAAAACAAAGCAGAAAGTCGAGAAAATAATAAACTGGGGTGGTAATGTAACTCAGTGCCTTGGCAAATAAAACTATAATTTGCTTTTACACCCTCGCTCGAACATAAAATAAACTGGAGTGCAGTTAAAAATTGGTAAATGAATGTGTAAGTAACTGGCGAATTTAAATTAAATATTAACCGGGGTTTCTGTTAAGTGTCGGTAAAAAAAGAGTGTAAGAGCAAACTAAAACTAAACAGATGTATAATTAAGAAGATACAACATCCGGGAATGTTTCGTTTTTTGCTTGCGCCAAGTTAAAATACGTTTTCTTTCCAATTGGTTCGTAAGAAACATTCCGGGATGCCGCATTAACAACCGAGTAAACAAAAACTGCTAATTGCTTCCTTAACGTTCGCCAAGGATTAAATTAACATCATGTGTGATGAATGTCCTTTGTAAACGTGTTTGTACATGAATATGTATGGTGTCTACTTACGTGCATTCGTAGTCGTTCCAGAGATCAACGCATTCGAACGGCTCGGGGCAAATTACGTTCGCACATGGTTTATTGGATGGACAATTCCTTTCCAGATTCCTCGCCATCGTCGCCTGGCCCCACTGCGTCCCGTTCATCGCCGGAGGCAGCGGCAAGTGCTTGCCCTCCAGCCGTATGTCATCCAGACATCCTAAATTAAGTCAAGAATTAATTAATTTGTCTGTGTTTTACATCTCCGCGAACGCACCTTTCTGATAGTCGGCGTAAACTTCAAACGTGCGCACGCCAGTGTACTCGGCTTTGCCGCCAGCATAGACGCCTTCCTGCTTGTCCACCAAAAGCCACTGATGGCCCACGAAGCTGAAAGTTTCGTTGTATCGGCGGCCCTCGCCGCCGTCCAACTCCAAAGTGGCGGCCGATCCGTATCGGCTTACTCGCGCCACGTGCCACTGACCATCGTCCACGGGGACGGCGGACAACCAGATGTCCTTCTCTTCGGTCCTTAGCGAATTGAGGTTATATCGGAAATACAATCTGGAATCTTTGATCTCCAATATACCGTATTCTCTGTTATGCTGATCGGATACTCTGAACAATTCACCGTGCTCCTCTCTCGTCCGGAATCGCAATTGGATTTGCGTTGAAAAGCGATCTGGTTCGAAGCTTAGCGCGTATTTCACGTACGATTGCGGTTTGAAGGACGTGGGGATGGTCGGTATTGTGCAAGCCGGACCGGTAAAGCCCGGTTTACACAGGCATTTGGCCTCGTTGAAGCTGCCCACGCAGGTTCCATGCTCCCAACACCTCGACGTAGTGTCGCTTCGCCCGCACATTTCTTCGGTTTGCGGACAGCCCGGAACGCTGTGCCTCGATAAGCCGGGATGAGCTAAATCGTAGAGTTTCGAGTTGTGGAACAAGTTTCTGATGCAACCGTCGAAGGATTTGCCGACGGGCATGTATTGCCAGTGGTAGTGCGTCGGGTCAAATTGTTCGACGTACAACCCGCCCAACTGTAGCGGGGCGTTTACGTTAAGGTATTCGTTGAATGGCGGGATCGTGCCTTGGGCCTGACAGCTGCTGTCGTCGAATTCTGGTGGCGTGCCATCCTCTAGCTCGGAAATGTCGGCGGATTTGCAATAGTCTACGACCAAGCGTATATTTTCCGTGTCCCAGAAAATGTCGATTCTATGCCACTCGCCGTCGTCGAGGGTCTTCTTTGTTTTAATACGCAATTCCAAAGTTCCCGACCCGAAATCGATTAGCAATCTCGGATAGCCGCGCTCCAATTCCATCGCGATGTAGTCCGACACCATTACTTCGTCCTTTTCAGGTGGCACTATGGGCCCGTTGTACAAAAGCAGCCCGTCCGGTTTCCTCGTTATAAATTCAAAGTGTAGATGGGATTTATCGCACATTTCCAAAGCCGGATACCAAGCCCAGCCGTTGCCTTTGAAGCTGCGCGACGTCTGTTGACAGCGCGGTCCATTGTATCCAGACGGGCACGAGCACGTCAAAGAGAATCTGGTCTCGCTACAGCGACCGCCGTTGTAGCACGGCGTGTTGCGGCAATTCTCGTCTTTGCTGAAATTACGGGCGCCGCAGGTGCATTCGGCCAACACGTCCACTCGCACGCCCACAAGCGCCGTCTTGTTCGCATTGACCATGTAAGGCAAGGCACTTATGTCCAATGTGTTGGTGCAGGAGCCCTCGCACATCTGGTTCTCGTACAGGCACTCGTCGATTCCCACCATGGTGATGTTGATGCCGACAGCGCGTTCGATTTCCTCGCGATGCATCAGCACCATTCCGTTGAGCCGCACCGGTTTGTAATACGGCGAGCCATGTGCGCTAAATCTCACGTCGGTTAGGGGCGGGTGTTTTCTCCTCAGCTGCACGCTGAACACGTCTACATTGTCTCTGTCGATGTTTAACAAGTCCGCTATTTTATCTCGGAATTTCTCCGACATGCTCTTCGACAAGCTCTGCGTTCTGTAATCCCATATTCTAATGAAATCTTCGTCTGTTATGCCGGCAATGCGTACTGAGCCCGAGTTCACGACAGCCTCGTGGGGAATTTCCTTTACTGTTACCGTTACATTAGCAGGTACATCGGTTTGCGTATGCTTCCTGTCGTACACCTTGAATTTCAAGTGATATGTGCCGTCTCTCGTTCCGTGTCGCATAGAAATCATTCCCGTATCCTCATTCAATTTAAATCTCGGATGCTCGATACTCTCCCAGTAAAACTTCTTGTCGGGCAAATCCCAATCGTCCAAATCGTAAACGTAGACGCGGCCGATTTCCGTTTCCGGCGCGTTGCCTTGATAATTGTAAACAAATATTTCTTTCGAGCCAGGCTGCATTTTGTTATCGTTCACGTCGCCAATGATGACCGTTAATGTGCTCGTGCCGGACATGGCGGGATTACCGTGATCCTTAATCACGATCGGGATGTGATACTCTTTCTGCTGCTCCCTATCGAACGACCTCAAAGAGGTTATGATGGCCATACCGTCTCCGTTTGCTCCCTCTGCAAGCAACATAGCATGCAAATGATTTATCTATTCGATCTCTATTCAAAAAATTAATATTAGCGCTTCGTAAAGGCTTGATGGGTATTGAGTGAGGTCGTTACGTATAATGCGCGATCATTTGCAAAACCTAATCTCAAAATTATTTCACGTACATTTTCTAAATATATTACAACATCTTCTCTCGCGAAGACGGGAAATTACTCTTTTCAGACCCTCTTTCCAATTGTAAAGGGAAATTTAAATTGTGAGAGCGCAACAAAGAGCGAATTATATTTTAGTTAATTTAACTAACGGCAAAAAAGCAGGGCAATAAATTTCCCAATTTGTGTTCGTTTTAATTAACGAGTACGTTATGCTAACAAACGTTACACAAAAAATAAATTACCGCCGAGGCTAATCGTTTCCGACTAAAAATATAATTTAGATTATTCCTCGCCGGGGGTTTATCAAACTTAATGTTGCGGGCAGTAATAAAAAGAAGGGAGGAATACTTTTTTGCGCATTTAATCGCTCATTAAAAAGTTTCAAGTAAAAGTTCCGGCAACTTTTATTGCGCCTAATTACACCGCCAAGCCGGTAACTTGACCGTCAAGTCCCGCGTTTATGCAAAAAGTTTTTGTGGAGTTACCTTTGAAAATGCAAAAGAGGTAAAAAAAATTAAAAAAACATCCGCAAACGTCATTTTGTTTTTGTTTGAAATAGTTTAGACTCCCTATGAAAAAAGTTGTGAGATCGAATCGAATAAGTTGGGTAAACAGTGTTGTGTTCCATTTAAACTCGAACCCTCGGAGTTCGATTATACGTGTACGTAGGGGACGGTTGACGGGGGAGATGGGGAAAGATGAAAGTTGCTTACTTTGATCCTGTTCCACTTTGAAGGAGGCCCGCACTATGTCGCTGGCTCCGGGGTCGAGCCGGAATTGAAACGGCGGGCCGTTACTCTTCGATCTGTCGTCATCGTCTGTAGCCAGCAGTTCGACCACCTTGCGGGGCGGGACGTGCTCCGGGACCACGGGCCTGTAATCACACGACGGGGATAATTGTTAATTAAAGGCCGAATAATTGCGATAAGGAGGTCGCGAGATAAGGGTCTTTATTTTGTTTGCTTGCTCCATCTCCACTTTCGCATCACTTAGCTAAGTTAGATTGTTATTGAAATTGAATGCTGAGTTGGGATTAAATTACTCGACATAATAGGGGAAGGAGCATGAAAAAGTGCCGCGGTTTAGGACCTGTTCAAGGGTGTATATAAGGAGCTTAAAGGATGATTTATCTATTAATTTATTACTAGATGTAGACATGAATTAAGACGATTTATATATTTGTAACAAAAAAACAATGCAATTTAGACCACACTATAAAAAAATTGGCCCACATATTTTAAACAATAAAACCTTTACAATAGATCATACATTTTTTCTATGCCATCTACTTTTGATATTAAGAAAAAGCTCCTCCTGAAGTTAAATTTGGAAAAATCATTTTATATTAATAAACCTCTTATAATGGGAAATTACACATATTTTATAAAGCATACCCTTTTTCTATTTCTATTTCTTTTAATATTTAGAAAAAAATACTCCTGAACTTTAAAATTTTAAAAAAATTCACTTTAAATTGATAGTCGTTTTATTGTAGATAATGAAAACTTTTTAATAAAGTATAATTTTTTATGTAATCTACTTTTGATATTTGGATAAAGCTAGTTTTAAATTTGGATAAATCAACTTTATATATCAATATCAGATCCTTCTATTATGGGAAATAAAACCTTAATAAACTATACCTGTTTTCAATTCCACCAACTTTTGATATCTTTAGAAAAAGCTACTCCTGGCCTTTTAAATTTGTGAAAATCTACTTTATAATCGAATCGGTTAGATTAAGAACAGCACAAGTCCAAAAGTTAAAATTTTGACAAAATATTTCAAAAAATCAGGTTTATATTTGCAAAATGCATTTTTGTAAGAAAATTTTAACTGTATTATAAAATATAATATTCATATTCTGTAAAATTCACAAAAATGTATTTTGAACTTGAATTGATTTTAGAAAATGACTTGTCAACATCTCACCGATTCAATTTTGGTCCACCATAATAGAAAATAAAACCTTTTTAATAAACTGGTCAATTTTTCTATTTTATATTTTTTTGGACTTGGAATGACATATATTCCGTAAAGTGTTACAAAATAAAATATTCTATCATCGGATAATGGATTAAACACTGGTGTCGACATATCTGTTTTTAATATCTAACAAATTTTAGACCGATCAACCCTTACTTTTTCCCAATTAAATTATTTTTCTGTGTTATTTTTTGGAAACGTTGAAAAAGTATAGTCTGAAACACGTTTGGAATTGCATATTCCAAACTTGTTACAGAATATACTATTAATAAACTAGTAATTTTTTCTATGCCACCTATTTTTGATATTTAGAAAAAGTTAAATTTGGAAGAATCTTCTTTACAAGGTCAGCCTGAAAAGTAAGGCAAGACAGCTGTCAAAATTTAAGGCAAATAGCCAAATTCATAGCATACCTTTGTTAAAGTCGTTTGAAGAAAACAACTTTTGAATTTTTGTGAAAATTGAAAATGAAGAAATTATTAAACATTTTTATTTGAAGGGAAAAACACCGACAGAAATTAAGAGGAGTTAGATGGAGTTTATGGCACATTTTTTTTGAGGAATACATTTATAAGAGGTTGTACCAACACTAATTACACATTAATAATGCGCATAATATTGTTCTGCATTCGACAAGGGACCAATTGAACCAATTAATTGAAAAAGATTAGGAAAAAAATGGCATAATTTAGCTCGTAAAAAATCACCACGATATGTCGCGACAATGCTCCAGCTTATTCATCGAATATTCTCCAATTTTGGTCCCATCAGACTTCTTCCTTTTTCCAAACATAAAAAAATGATTCGGAGTAAAAATTTGGGTCAAATTAGGAGGCAATCAATGATACTTATTTTTCGTATTACACTGAAGGCATTAAAACACTTGAACCTCGCTGAAATAAGTGTTTCAAGTTAAAAAATAAAATGTATTGTTCTTAGTCATTTTTAGGTTGCCCTCGTATATTGATGGTCCTTCAATTATAGAAAATATAACTTTTACTTTTGATAGTAAAAGCTACTCCAGATATAGTTTAACATATGGAAAAAACTACTTCAAATACTTAATAATAATTAAAATAAGATCTTAACCTTTTGAGTGAAATATTTTTGATAAATAAATAAATAAAAAGAAACTTACCTGTAGTCCTTGAGGAAAGTGGGCGCGTTATCGTTGATGTCCTGCACGATGACTGTTAAAGTTGCGGTCGCTGTTTTGGGCGGAATTCCGTCGTCGATGGCGAGAATCTTCACTTGATGCCTCGGCGTGTCCTCCCTGTCCAGGGACCTTTGTATGCTGACCGTGCCCTCCTGATTGATGGAGAATTGCCGCTTCCTGTCCGAGGTCCTGTCAATCGCGTACGACACTTTGCTCTTGCCGCCCTGATCCGGGTCGGTGGCTTTGAAGGTCTCCAAACTTTTGCCGACCTCGGCGTTCTCGAACACGGAAACTTCGATGTTCGGTCGCTCGAACTGCGGCTTGTTATCATTGATGTCACGCAGCTTGACCACCACCCACGAGTAAGCTACGTGATACTTGTCGTTGTCATTGTCCTCTCCCTTGTCGTTCACTTGGATTCTGAACCTGAACCCGTTGCTTTGCAATAAATCCTCGTAATCGAGCGGTTGAACGATCTTCAACGACCCAGTCCCATCGTTATTCCTCACCATCGTGAATTTATCCGCTCCGTAACCGCTATTTTCAATAACCTTATATTGAAACTTGTTCGTCTCGTCCTCGTCGTGCACCGTAACCGTCAAGATCGGCATTTCCGGTAACGTATTGCCGTCCGTTTCGTCGACTTCCGTCAACCACTCGTCTTTAGTGAACTGCGGCGGCATATCGTTTATATCTTTCACGCGTATCGAAGCCGTACCTGTCCCTTTCAACCCGCCACCGTCCATCGCCACAACCTGTATCGAATAGTCCGGCGTTCTTTCGCGATCCAGACAACACACGGCCGTTTTGATCACTCCCGTCTCCGACTCGATCTCGAAAATCGGACTGCCCGTCTCCTCCTCGATCACGTTCTTCTCTATGGAATACACCAGTCGCGCGTTGGTACCTTCGGAAGGATCGTCGTAGTCCACCGCGGTCATCGTCATGACGACCATGCCGGCGGTACCGTTCTCGGTTACGTTACCGAAGTAAACGCCCTGCGGGAATATGGGCGCGTTGTCGTTGATGTCTTTGAGGTTGACCTGGACGTCGGCGTAACCCACCAGACCTTCGCCGCCTTCGTCTTGCGCGAACACGGTGAACCGCCACTGGGGCCGGCCGTTCGGCTGATCCCGATCCAAAGGCTATAAACGAACCATTAAACATTAGAGTGCTTTGAAACAAACATGTTTAAGATACTTGATAAAGGACAACTTTGGTGATATGTTTCTTTTCACAATCTTGACAGTTTAGAATAGAATGCCTTTATTTGTTCGACTATTTCCCTCGTCTTAATTTCCACCAATCACAAACGCGCAATTTTGAATTACAAATGGTTTCTAGGTGAAAAAACTCTGTGACAGCACCTGTCAGCAGTTTTTTCGAGTTTACTCGCGGCAAAACTTGACAGCTGTTGTCACCAAAAATTGCAATTTATATTTTAATTGTTTACTGTTACTCATGAAATAGTCTTGTCAAATACCATTCGGGCATCTAATTTTTCCTGTGAAAAAAATCGAAAAAACACAATGCTAAGTAATATTTTTTAACAAAATGCATTCGTGCAGGTGCAAAAATCCTCCTCTTCGACTCGGATTTTTGTTGCCACCAGCACTCATGCTTTTTGTTAAAATATTACTTAGCAACGTGTTTTTCGATTTTTTTCGGAAAAATTAAATGCCCTTATGATATTACTTACGAATAATACCCAATAGGGTGTGAAACATGTCAAGTAGAATAAATAAATTCACTAAGTAAAAAAATAATAAATAAAAATAATAATTTACATTAGTGTATTAAATTCCGTGATTTTAAAGAATTATTTCATCATTGAAATACTCATCCATACTATAATACGCTTTTTTTATTAGGAAGAAGGTTAGTTGTTTTTTTAATAATTTGACAGGTAGGTTTCTGTATTGTTCAGGTATTTTATTAAATATTTTTATTATCATGTAGGTTACATTCCTTTGTAGGTAAGTAAAATAAAGTTTTGTGGGTATGTTGTCATTTTTATTACGGGTTTCATGTTCATGAATGTGATCGACTTTATCAATTATAGATTTGTTCTTCAAGACGAAGATTATAGCTTCTAGAATATACATACCAAACAGGGAAAGTATTTGTTTTGTGTTGAAGATATGTCTACAGCTCTCTTGATAAGGCATTTTTTCTAAAGGATGAGTATTCGCTCCGACTCTGATGAGCCAACCCAGAACACCACACCGTATCTTATTCTGCTTTGCACATAGGCATTGTATGCAATTTCGGAAGTCTCTTTATTTATATGAAGTGTAATTACCCTCAGAGCATAAGCGTATCGAGCAATGCAAGTGTATCAATACGACGACTGTCTATAGATCCATAAAAATGACTGATTTTAGTGATTGTATATCTTGGACTTTTAATATAAAAATGTCGTTGCGCTCTTTTGAATAGTTAAATTTTACAAATTGAGTTTTTTTAACATTAAGCATAAGGTCGTTGGATTCAAACCACGTATTTAGACCATTTATCAATGTCCAGTTAAAGTTGCAGTTAGTTATCTGTTAGATAATTTCCATGGATACCATTGTTCTCACAACGATCGATATGAAATTTAACTGTCAGATAGACTAACTGGAACTTAACTAGAGATTGATAAACCGGCCCTGAGAGAGTTATTTACAATCAATTAGTTGTGTAGGATTTCGTTCGCTAAAGACAAGCGAAGTATCATCCGCAAACTGTAGTATATTTCCTTCAACTGCAAATGGAAGATCATTGGTATATGAGATGTATGAAAGTGGCTCCATGATTGATCCTTGTGGAACGCCTGAATGTATGGTAAGTTTTGTTGATTTTAACTGCTTACCTAAGTTTATATCGATTTCCGTGACACATTGTTGGCGATTACTAATATATGACTAACAATTTTATGGCAATACCTCTAATCCTGTAAATTTCAAGCTTTTTTAATAAAATATCATGATTGACGTGATCGAATGCTTTGGATAGATCTAGGCACATAAGTAAAGTGTCTTTTCGGTTGTTTAATGAATTTATTATGTCGTGAATTCATATATCTCCGACTTTTCAAAAAACTATGTCCATTCACGGTTCAGTCAACCATAGCTTATAATTAGTATACATTTGGTAGATTTAGTTACACTTCGCTTCTGAAGATGCCAACATCGTTGGCGAAAAGTACTTTAAGCACTTTGTGTTTTGTTTTGGTGTTGGGGAATATTTCTAATATTTGTTTAACATATCACCAAAGTTGTCCTTTTTTAAGTAGTTACGACCTGTTCTTAAGAACTTACGTGAATAAAAAAATTATGTTTGTTTGAAACGGAGCTCTCTAATAAACATTATAATTGCAACTGAAATCCCGCTGCCACTAAAGCAGAATACATTATCTGTTGAAGCGTCGCAATAATTGTTTTGTTCGTTGTTTGTTGTTGTTGAATTAGTTCGCCGTTAGCTTTTATTGTACGGATTGTTGTTATTGTCTAACGATTCAATTCAGTTTCAGTAAAGCGGTGCAGCAAAATTTTACAACCGCGTTATTAAAGTTTCAAGAAGTTGTGAAGGGCAATTGGCCGAGAAAATATCATTTATGACCGCATCTGGCAATATACATATAAAGCTTAGTTTTGTGTGTTTTGTGAGAGCAGTAGATATATGAGTAATTAGAGTTTCGAGGTAGAATAATTGTTGACGTTTAAAATTTCCTCTAATAATTTAAATTCTTAAAGTACTCACTCGAGTTGCTCAGTCGTTTGGTTAATTTCGCGAAATGTAATTAGAAGGAAAATTCAAACTTCATTGCTTTGTATTTAAGTTAGTTACATCATTTCTTAGCGAAAAAACTATATTTTTAAAAGATTAGCATGAACAAACACGAAGCAAAAAAATTGAAATCATCGACTTGGAATAGCAATAGATTTCAGTCAAAAACCGGAATGATGAATCGATCCAACGCGAAATATTAATGTTTTGTTATTGTTTCGTATGCAATTCAACTTTTCAGGGAAGATTAAAGTGTCAATGTCTAAGCTCGACGATGAATTATGCCCTTTAACAATAAATGAAATGGCAAATTTAAATGGAAGCCCTCGATAAAAAATATATATCAACGAAATTCAAGACTTTGTGCGAGGTTTTGGGAGATTTAGGGCACCATAAAACAAAGGATAAGAAAAAGGGATTTTTTTTTAAATAATCCTACATTAACAAGCATAATAACCAAGTGCACTGGCTGAAAGTAGATAAAACTTTTATCGTAAAGAAAAATGATTTGAAATCTGGAATCTCGTTAAGGTACGAGTAAGGCCTAGATGTGCATTCACCATCCACCTAAATTGCTATAATTAAAACAACGCTTTTGATGATATTCCTTAATTGTTTTGCTTTTAGTCTAATTTCCTCTGGAGACGCAAAACTTTTTATTTATATCTAAAATTAAGTTTTCCTGCTAGATACGAGCATAATTACGAATCCCTTTGATAAAATCTTAATTAAAGAACACGAAAAATAAAATGCAATTATTCTGCTAGGTTATAATTTGACAACACAAGAAATGCTGATATGAATATTTTATTCAGGATATTCTCCTGGTTTAAGAGGAAAACATTTGCTTTTAGAGGCGTCAAGGGAAATACAAAACGGCGCAAATCTGCTCTTAGAAAATGGATAAAATAATCTGGAAGCATATTGAACTTTATACTATACATCTCACCACTGTTTGATTAATAGATTTGTATATAAACGCACTAGTATTAATAATAACATTAATTAATAGAAAAATCAGTAAAGTTTCTTTACCTTGAGGACGAATATTTCTCCCGTGGTCCTGTTAATGTCAAATTTGCTGTTTGCAGGATTATCAGGATCGATGCCTTGTCCTGTCAAAAAGTACACGATGTTCTGGGGCCGATCCTTATCGCCATCGGTGGCTGTGACCTGCAGGGAAACAATAAATTTTAGTCATGCTCGATTAAAAAAAAAACAAAAAACGTTTCTTTGCAATTTATAGGTTCAATCCGAATAAATAACATCCGTGATAGGTGGATTTATATTCACGAGCAAAATGCTTTTGATATAATTTACAAATAAAAATCAATACATTTTAATTCAAAATTATGCAATTGCTTACACTGTTTAAAATATCTGTGGTGTAAAAAGTAATCCTAAATTGGCGTTAAAATCCAACACCAAGTGGTGTCAAAATAACACCATGAATTATGGTTGAAAATGAACACCAAAACGGTGTTTATCTAAAAATATTTGAGAAGTGCACCTACACAGAAAAAAAGAAATAGTTAATTTAACTATATTAATTTAGTAGACCCATAAGTATTTATTTTTTTGTGGATCACGTGATGTTCTTAAATCCCGCCTCTGTTGACTTACATGAAGAATATATAAGCTTATGTTGTCCTTTGCTTTGGTGTGACACTACAAGTTGTTCGATACTAGACCTTAAATAGGTGGAAACAGCTGTCAATACTTGAAGTATTTTAAGTTAGTGGAACGAACTAAAAACATTATCTCTAGCGAGTTGAAGGTTCCATTTTCTGGAATAATACCACTGGTAATGTACTAGTAATGGTCAAGGAACTTCCTGTTTCCTTTTTTTTCCTTTTTTCTGTGTAGTATGATTTAATTTGACCACAAACACATAATATTTAACACTGAAAAGGAGTTCAATTTACACCAGGTAAAATTTATTTTAATACTGTGTGAAAGTTAAATTTACACCATTTTAGTATTTGAATTTACACCATTTTAGTATTTAAATTAACACCGGACCAACGAACCCTATTTAACACCATTTTGGTTTGTATCGATATAGACCAAATATGGTGTTAATTTGGTGTTAAAATGGTCATGAAATTTTGAACAGTGTATTATTATGTATTTATTCATAGGAAATTGCTTTTAATATTTAACAGTATTAGGGTGAGTTCTACAAAATATTACAAGAAGACGTGTGTACAGGAAAATATTGTAAGATTTTAAGTAAGATGGAGTTGTAGGCGATTGTATAAGTAACAATTTCAATTTTTTTAATCGTTATAAAACCGCGCGCGCCACTATTAAAATTCAGGGTTTGTCAACAATACATTCTTTATTAATATATAAGTAGTTTTTACACAAAAGAGAAAGGCAGAAGACGTACTCGACAAATTTTACTCGCAAAGTTATAATTGCACAGCTTAACCGCGCACCTTTTTGCGTTGCAAGTAAAAACTGAAAACCTTTGTTTGGTTTAAGTACTCGATTTCGATTTATATGCTTATGTAGTTACGTTTGTGTGTGGGTATTTTATCTATTGTGAGTTTAATTGTAAATGTAATACCCAAACTAATCGGATATTCATGATTTGCCAAAGGATCTAATTCTGTACGTATATTTGCTGGTGCAGAATTACTTATTACTTAATACTTTATATTTAAGTTTGAACATTTTTAAATAAATAAATCTAACATAAAATAATAGTTATACAAACATAACCTTAAAATCGTTTTTATATTTGAGTTCTCTAAAAAATCGCCTACAACTGCATTTTAAAATGATAAAAGACAAAATATATCTACGAATATATTATATATAATACATAATATTATACCCATTTTTGGTCCTTTACCGTTAAGTGAAAACTTTCTCAAACAACGCTTTTAATAATTTATAATGCTGTTTACATTTAGATGACATATTTGTTTTATGATTTTTACTGAATTTAAATGTTTACAATATTCACGTAAATCATTAATAAAATGTATATTTTTTGTGTCTAATAAACCCCGTAACCTCGATAATTTTAACATTTTCCAAAAACACTCGTTTGTAACATACTCGTTTGACAGATGTTAATAAAAGATGTAGTTTTGCTACGATGGTGGCGCCACTAGCTTTACTTTAGCGTAAAGAGTTTTTAAAATTATGAACATAACCTGAAAACAGCTTACTGATTCCAAAAATTAAATCCATTTTAATTGCCTTGGTAAAAAATTGCCCATAAACTATTTTAGCTCAAATGCGAAAATTCAACAATTTAATTCTAAAAGTTTTCCGTGAAAAATTTAATTATCTAGTATTTTTAACAACATATTTGCATTATTTATTCAAGTGGTTATTTTGGGCAATATTTTTTTGTAATATTTACTTGTAATGTATTCTTGTAACATTTCGTAGAAGTTGCTTGAATATTTTAAATATTATTTAAAATCAAATAAATATAAAGCTCTATTATTACTACTAACATGCACAAAAAAATAATTTTTATACTTACCGCAATTTTATACAGATATTATTTTATTAAAATATATAAAGCCCTGTCAAATATACATTGAATTTTGTTTTAAATCAGGCAACTTTATGAAGTTTTGTCAACATGTGTTTTAAACTAACTGATTTATCTCAGAAAGTATTTTTCTACTTTTGAAACTACATAGAGAAAATACGATTTGTCATAGTGATAAACAATGTTGTTGAACAGAAAACAACTTGTTTTAAAATTGCATTTATATTAACTTCAAAAAGTAACTTTGAGATTAAAATTTATCCCGGCGCATCCACCATTTTTGTAATGGTTAGGAAAAATAATGGACATGAAAATATTCATTGGAGAGATACAAATGAATTTAAAACTAAACAATATTTTTAAAAAGTATAAACTATATTGAAAACTGTATAAATAAATAAATATGCACTCGTGCATTTTCATTTTAAATATTGTCAAATTTTAATTTAAAACTTATTTATTTATTATTTGACATTGCAATAAAATTAAAATCGAAATACTTTATTTACTGACATTTTGATTTATTACATATGGTTTATTTATTGTAAGCTAACAGTGGCGTACAAACATATTTAATAAGTTAATTAAAGTTTTAATTTAAAAACACAATTTTTTGCGAATCAAATTCATACTCGAATTACTTAAAATTGGTTTTATGATCGCAATCTTGAGCGACTTCAAACGAATTTCAGAGATTAATTGGCATTCGAGACGAGCACGGCGTGATTAATTATTCTTTTCACTGCATTAATTTCAAAAGAAAAATCACGTATCTGCTGCTTTATATTAATATATACACGAAGTGCACGCAGATTCTCTTAGCGGATAATTCGCCGCTCCAAAATTGCTTTCAGGCACTAATTTCACTCAAGCAACTGGGATTTTAAAATTATACGTCTGTCGTTCTTGATAATTCACACAGGGGCATTCGCCATTTTTTAACTTCTGCAGAGTGCAACATAAAGGTTGCGAAACAATACCTACAATGAGGGATTTCTAAGTAAAAAAGTTTTTGTTTAATATCGTTTTCAAAGTAACTAAAAAAAATTCTTTAATTTTAAAAATTATTGAGAATTTTGGAAAATTTGAAAATTTTAAACAATTCGAAAATTTTGTAAAATTTTCAAAATTTTGCAAATTTATCCCACCATTTTTTTAATTTACACCATTGTGCGAATTTGTCCTACCATTTTTTAAATGTACGCTTAATTAGGGCAGTTTTCAATCACACAAAACATTAATGTTAATGTGCAGTTTTCAATCTCCCGGTTTAAAATATACTAAAGGGCAGTTTTTAATTGTCGTAGCATAGATGTTGCAGAACACGCGAACATCGACGTGACTCTGCGACTTCTTGTGTTCTGATACTTAGGGCGTTGAAAAGTTTTATATTTTCCGTTAGACGGTGACTTTTTTTTTGTTTTTCTTTCAGCTTTTGTTACTATTTTTAAGAAGAAGGGAACATAACCTACAAACTTAAAGAAGCTAATTATCTCTAAGAATCCTGCATATGGCTTGCTTCTTTTACAAAATTTTAAAATTTAAAAAACCCCAGTACCTACTTAATAAAATTAAGCATAGGACAGATATACATAATATAAATATCAGAAAAAGATACCTAATCGATATATACCAAAAAACAAAAAAAAATTTTTTAAACGGTCTCTCTTATATAGGTATATGCACATATGTAAATGAATATGCTATATTTGATTTTACTTTGTCAGTTTATGCTTATAAAAACAATTTTAAAACATTTTTATTACAGCAACAATGATCTTTATTTTGGCTTTAATTTTGTCTGTTTTTAATTTTGGCCGTCTTTTTTGAGTATTTTTATTTATTATGTGTTTTTACTGGCTATGTCTTTTTTTATTAAATAGTTTAAAATTATATTTTAATATAGATATATGTATGTATATGTAAATGTATCAAGCATTGTAAGTTAACTTGGCTGTAAGATTACTAACTTAGTTGTAAGATTACTAACACAAGGAGAGTGCGGAAGAACAGAATCCAATTTTTTTTTGGAAATCTCAGCATTCTACCTTCTGCTTTAAATCTAAATTTTATATTGATTTGTATGTATGTTCCATGGGCAACAAACTATTATTATTATTAATATTATTATTATTAAATGTTTTTTTCTTCATATTTTAGTTTTTTTTCAAGATTAAAAGAAGTTTTAAATTGTTATTGGTTTCTTATGTGGAAACTACCAAATAATAAGAAATTCAATTTTTTAGTCAAAATTTTCAATAATGCAAAATGTAATATATTCTAAATTTTACTTTATTATTAATAGGTAAACAATTTGCCTAAAATTTCATATTAAAAAAATACTCAATTTTTTAAGATTGATGTTATTTATTGACAGAATATGCTTTATTGTAGCGGATTTAAAAAAAAATGATTTTATTCTAGTTTTTTTTTTAAATCTCTATGTATATTTTTCGTAAAATTGCCACATATTGTTATTGAATAAAAAGGGAAATATTTCCAATAAAACCGTAATTTAGATAACAATGGCTATACAAAAAAGTATATGTACATATTGACAGGTGGTATACAAAAGTGGCTCGTTAAATTTGATGACCGTTGGCGAAAAAAAGTTTACTCTGTTAAAACAATGGCGGCAAATCCATCATATTGCATC